AATGTTTTGACACCTAAAACCCCCTAAACACTCAAACCTAAACCCTAATATAACATAGTTAACCCAAACATAAATTATATAATGAAAAAATAATTTTGAAAAAGTGGCATTTTTGTAAAGATTTCAAAAGTGTGGCATTTTTGTAAAGTGGCATTTTTTGAAATTTCTCAAAAATGTTTTGACCCCTAAAAACCCTTAAACCTTCAAAACTAAATCCTAATACAACATGGTTAATCCAAACATAAATGATATAATGAATATTTTTTGAAAAAGTGGTATTTTTGCAAAGAATTTGAAAATGTGGCATTTTTAAAAAATTCTCTTAAAAATATTGCTGAAAACTTAATATAAATTTTTGAAATTAAATAAAATTAAAAATATTAATATTAATATTTTATTGATGAGATACTCATTGGGTACCTAACTAATAAAGATGATATTAAATAATGAGTCTTCAACTTAAAATATAATATAAATATTAGTGTTACCAATATAGATGGTCTTATATTTCATCTGGTAAATACCATTGGTATATAGTTGAATTTGAACATGTGACCTGCATCTAATCTAAAACAAATATTTTTGTAATTCACAAATTAGCAATCTTAAAACTCTAAAAGATTACAAAACTATTAGTTCATGTAAAACCATTACGCAGATTCAATTTGCCTAACTACCATATTGATTAGTCCTCAGCTAGTTTCCGATAGAATTTAGATTTCCAACGATCTAGAGCCAACATACTAAAATCGTCGAACTTCCGAAAAAGTCTGATTTTTTCTTGTAGTGTAGTTCGGGTTCTCTAAGTGTTTCGGTTTGCAAAAAGATGATATACATATATTTGATAGATACTTTTTTCGTTTTAATATGATTGATGTTTTAGAAAAAAAAATATTTTACAAATATTGATTTTTTACATTTTTATGCAGTTTTATGAAGTTATAAAAAATTCTTAAGTAGAAAAATAATATATTTATAACTAAACATTAATTTTTTTTAATATATCTGAAAACTCTAAAAAAAAAATATTTTGAAACAAACAGAGTAATATTTGTACACATGATTTGAATCCAATGCAAACCACGTGTAAGTGTTAACCAGTATATTGGTAATCCCGAAATTCTCAAAGATTTCATATTTTAAATAATAAAAATAATTGACATATTTGGTTGAACCGGATGCATAGAGCGGCTAATAAGAGCGATTTAGCTATTTGAGCAGCTGAATTTCTTATATAACCAAACTATTTACCAAATCTCTCATCACCCCTGTATAAAAAAAATAACAAATATGAATGAAAATCCATCTTTCGAAAAAAAAAATAACAAATATTTATATATCTATGTATATTGATGTGTTATTGTCACTTTATACTTTTATAGGTCATGTAGAAAATGGTGAAACGGTTTTGCGATTATGCAGAATTTTATCAATTCTACAAAAATTTTTTTTTTTTTTTTGAAACAAATTCTACAATTTCAGGATTTATTTCCACTCTTCCAACAAATGTGTCAGTAAAGAGAAATTCCAAGAAACATGGGCCGGGGGTGGGGAGAGAAAATTCAGTCTTCGCATTTTGGCGATTTGTATCTATACGACTGAGATTTTATTTTTTTGGACAATTACAAAAATATCATTTTTGTGTGCATATTTGTAAGAATACTATTTACGAATGTTTATTTGCAAAAATATCACT